AGAGAAGAGGAATAGTGATTTCTAGATCGAGAGAGAGAGAGAGAGAGAGAGAGAGAGAGAGAGAGAGAGAGAAAAGGAATAGTGATTTCTAGATCTGGAGAGCCCTCCGTAGGCAGGCCGCCGGCATTGCTTTCCTTTCCTTCCTCCTCCTAATTTCTCACCACAGACCTGGGATCTGTTGCCTCCTGTTCACAGTCTCGGGGGCAAACAGACCCAGAGAGCCCAGAGAGCCCTGGTAAGTTTTTTGCGGGTTTCACAGCAGGAGGGGAAGACCTGCTAACTGGCTGCCTYCAGAGGGCCTCTAGGGTCTATTTAAGCTCTCGCCACTCACCCACATTCGGGTCCTTCGCCAACCTGGTTTAGAAACCAGGCTGTTCTCCTCGTCCTYCTGGGCCGAGGTTTGAAGTCCGGGCCTTGTGTATGCTAGGCAAGCGTTCTACCCCTGGGCCACCCCATCCCCACCCCAGCCCAGTGGTGCCAGGGCAGTGGAGTAGGTTTTTGGAGAAAGTAACTGCAGACAGCTCGGAGTACTGGGGCAAGTCTGGAAGAGATGAGCGGCTGTCCCAGAGGGGACAGGCCGACGGCGCCTCCATCTGTCACGGTTTTTGTCCAGTGGCCGCAGGCATGGAGGTGACATGTGCTTTCCACAACTACCCTCAATAACGTGTCCATCCTCACTCAGAGAGGGAAAGTGTGTGTGTGTGTGTGTGTGTGTGTGTGTGTGTGTGTGTATTAGCATATATATTTTTTCTATTAGTTATCCATGACAGCAGAATGCATTTTGATACATCATACATAAATGGAGTATAACTTCTCATTCCTCTGGTTGTACATGATGTAGAGTTACCAGGTCATGTAATCATATATGTACATAGGATAATGATGATGTCTGATTCATTCCACTATCATTTCTACCTCCATGCCCCCTCCTCTCCCCTCACTCCCCTCTGTTCAATCCAAAGTACCTCCATTCCCACGTTCCCTCTTGTGAATTAGCAACGCATATGAGAGAAAACATTTGACCTTTGGTTCTTTGGGATTAGCTTGTTTCCCTCAGCATGATATTCTCCAGTTCCTGCCATTTACCTGCAAATGCCACAATTTCATTCTTCTTTAAGACTGAGTAATATTCCATTGTATATATATATATATACACAATGGAATATTACCTTATCCATTCATTTGTTGAAGGGCCTGTAGATTAGTTTCATAGTTTAACTATTGTGAACTGAGCTGCTATAAATATTGATGTGCCTGCGTCACTGTAGTATACTGATTTTAAGTCCTTTRGTATAAACCTAGGAGTGGGGTGACTGGGTCAAATGGCAGTTCCATTTCAAGTTTTCCTAGGAATCTCAGAGAGGGGTTTTACACCTGAGGCTGCAGAAGCAGTGACATATCAGCATCAGCTTATTTAGTTTGTTTGTGTGACCAGCATCCCAAGGAGCAACGGTCCCAGTGTACAGGCAAGAAAGTAACTTTCTTCAGATAACACTGACTTGCCCTAGTTTCCAGGGTGCGCAAGAGAAAGTCTGGTCTCCCTTCTAGATAGCATGTATCTGGACTTTCCCACCAGGCTTGCTCTCATTGTTTCCTTAACTTGGCTGTTTTGGGAACAGAAAGGGGGTGTTCAGGACATGGTGTTTTACTGTCTCCCTTTTCTTTAGGAATGATACATTTTTCAATGCTTTTTTTCCCCCCACAAATGATATTTTAAACTTATGATGGGCTCCTATGGATGTAACCTCATTGTAAGTCAAAGAGCATTTATACTTATGTAAATAATGACTTAATTAGAACTTGAATTGACTGTGTTGGGCTGGGTTATTTTACAGTAGCAAACAGTTCCTCGAATCTCATGGATTATTTTTTACCCAAGGCTGCATGCCCAGGGAAGGCGGCCGGGCTCTGTCAGCAAAGGGACTCAGGTATGCAGGCTGCCACGTGCGTGCTCTGCTAATCTGTCACAAGGAAGAATTGTGGCCAACATGTGCTGGATCTAAAAACTTTTGGCTCCAAGAAAACTTTAGGCTCATTATTTTTTTTTTCCCAGTATGAGGATTGAACCCAGGAAAGTTCTACCACTGAGTTATGTCCCCAGCCCTTTTTATTTTATTTAGAGATTGGCTCTTCCAAGTTGCCCAGGCTGACCTCAAACTTGTGATCCTCCTGCCTCAGCCTCCCTAATATCTAGGATTAAAGGCATACACCTTGCACCTGGCGAGAATGGGACTATTACCAGACACATTATGGTAATGGATGTGGGAGGGCACTAGAAAATTATGATTTTAAAATAATTTTTTAAAAAGATGGTGGGTGGGGGCTGGGCGATGGTTCAGCGGTAGCGTACTTGCCTGGCATGTGTGAGGCAGTGGGTTCGATTCTTGGCACCGCCTATAAACAAATACATAAAATAAAGATGTATCAACAATTAAAAAAAAAAAGGTGGTAGGTGAGCGTGATGGAAGATGGGGCCAAAAAGTAGAGGGGAGACATCATGCAGTGGTGGGAGGATGCTCCGTGGGGGGGCAGTGGGGATCCAGGGTGRGAGGATGCAGAGGCAGCTACACACAGAGCCAGCCCAGGATGGTGGCTGTCACTGAAGAGAACCCAGGCATGGTGGAAGCCCCAGAGGTGAGGAGGGAGCTACACCAGCCTGAAGTGTGGGCAGGGGTTCCATTTGTCTCACAGAGTGACATATTTAGATATGGACCCGTCTTGTTTTGTCCCTCCTCCAGCAGGATTCAGGCCCGGTGAGGGCAGACTCTGGTTTGTTCAGTGCTGTGTCCCAGACAGTGCCTGGTTCATCTTGAGGGTTCCATGAATGGGTGGATGGAGGGATGGATGGATGGAGGGATGGATGGATGGAGGGATGGATGGATGGATGGATGGGGTCCTGCCCAGAGTTTCCTGTAGACAGTGCCGATGATTCTCCTTCACAACGCAGGGGCAAGCCTGACTCTCACATCCTTCCCTTCCCTTTTCTTCCTCTCTGTTTTATTTTTTTCTTGTTATTTATTTACTTATTTTTGGTACCAGGGATTGAATTCAGAGGTGCTTAACCACTGAGCCACATCACCAGCCCTTTATTGCTTTTTTTATTTTTTTGAGACAGCATCTGGCTAAGTTATGAAGGGCCTCATTAAGTTGTTGAGGCTGGGTTTGAAGTCACAGTCCTCCTGCCTCAGCCTCCGCAGTTGCTGGGATTACAGACATGCACCACCATGCCCATCTCTTTTTCTAAAACCCTTTTCCAATTATCCTGGATTACCTGCCAGGCTCAGTGTAATTACAGGAGTTCTTGGGGGTACTCAATAGGGTCAGAGAAGAAGGGGGGATAGTCCCAGTGCACACTGGGCGTGGTGGTGCTTGCCTGGTCTGTAATCACAGACTGGACTTGAGAGGCTGAGGCAGGAGGATCACAAGTTCTAGGTCAGCCTCAGCAATTTAGGAAAACCCAGACCTTGGCTGTAACCCAGCGGCAGAGTGCTTGCCTTGATTGAGTGACGCAACTCAACCCCCACTGCCGGAAAAAGAAAATGAATGTCCACACAGAAACTGCCAACGATGTAGGGGGCAGGCAGCAGGGCCTGGCAAAGATCATAGATCACCTTTACTCATTAACTCATTTGTTTGCCAGAATTCTTGGAGTGCAAGTTCAGTGCCAAAAAAGAACATTGCGTAATGCTTGAGGGCTTTGGGTCCAGCCTGCATCGGTTCTAATGGGCTCTGCCTCTTACTAGCTGTGGGACCTTGAGGGCAAGAGCCTCAGCTTCCCTGATTTACTTTATCTGCAAAATGGGCTCAGCGATGCGTTGTTGTGGGTCTGGGGTTGTGGCTCAGTGGCAGAGAGCTTGCCTAGCACATGGGGGACACTGGGTTCAATCCTCAACATCACACACACACACACACAAAAAAAATGCACAAATCAAATAAAAATTTAAGATCATGGGTTGTTGTGAAGATGAAATGGATCCAGTTATAATGTGTAATGTGCCGGGCACAGCACCTGCCGCCTCCTATGTGCTGTGGAAGTGTGAGCTGCTGCTAGATGTCAGTGTGTATTCATCTACTGCTGCTATGACGACCCTCCTGGTAGGAGTAGTAGTCACATTAAGAGAATTCTGAAGCTGGGCACAATGGCGCATGCGTGTAATCCCAGTTTGGGAGGCTGAGACAGAGGGATTGAAAGTTCAAAGCCAGCTTTAGCAACTTAGCGAGGACCTAAGCAACTCAGGAAGACCCTGTCTCTAAATAAAATATTAGGTAAAGAGTCCCTGGGTTCAATTC